GGCCATTGGCAACAGGGGCGCCAGGCGGCCAACACAGCCGCGGCTCGGCAGGGAGAAGAGGAGCGGCACAGGCTCCAGCTTCTCCTCGGATTCCCGCTGCTCTCCTCTACCTGTATGGGCAGAGGACTCTGTGTCGTCAATCTCTTTTTCTGTTTTCAAAAGGGAAATGTCAGGGGTCTGTTTTAGATACCCCTGATATTCCCCGAAGCCCCCCCAACAGTAAAAAAAATAATAATAATAAAAATAAATTAAGAAAATTAAAAAACACCCCCCCCCCCCACACACACACACACACACTCGCACACACACACACACACTCGCACACACACACACACACTCGCACACACACACACACACTCGCACACACACACACACACTCGCACACACACACACACACTCGCACACACACACACACACTCGCACACACACACACACACTCGCACACACACACACACACTCGCACACACACACACACACTCGCACACACACACACACACTCGCACACACACACACACACTCGCACACACACACACACACTCGCACACACACACACACACTCGCACACACACACACACACTCGCACACACACACACACACTCGCACACACACACACACACTCGCACACACACACACACACTCGCACACACACACACACACTCGCACACACACACACACACTCGCACACACACACACACACTCGCACACACACACACACACTCGCACACACACACACACACTCGCACACACACACACACACTCTCATGCACACATATTACTAGGCATGTGCAAAGACTAAAAATCTGTTTCGGACGAAATGAACGTAAACTCAAAATGTTTTCATTCGTTTCGTCAAACGAAACTAATTTTTATGCTATTTTGGATTTGGACACCAGCGCATTGTGCGCATGCGCGCTGCTATCCTGGAGGCGGGGTGCGTGACGTCACATACTGCACAAGTTTGTTGCGGCGGCAACATTTTCTGTTCTTGCCTCGGGCGCAAAAGGAGCTAGCTATGGATCTGCCTGAGATACAGACTTTGACAGCTCACTCCTCTTCATTCCCAACCTTGACAGTCTGCAAAGATGACTGCCTCTTGATTGACAGCTCTTATCTCATTGTGTCTGCCCTTTCCAGACACAAAACAAGTCTCATCTTCTAGTTCTGGTGCTGGAGAGTGCACCCCATCCCTCTGCATTACTATGTTTGGAAAGTACAATAACAGTGAGCTAAGAGCGGTCAATCAAGAGGTGCAGAGCATGGTCAGGAGTGGAGAAGAGGGAGCTGTCAAAGTCTGTATCTCAGGTTCCCTTGCGCTCGGAAAGCATGGGATAACAAGCAACATACACTGCAAGAGTTAGGGGACTGAGCTGTGAAAAATAATAGGTGAGACAACTTCTTTAAACAAAACTGCCTCTATTATTATGACCGGGATAAACGTCAGATAACATTTTAGGAGTCACTCATAACAAAATTTCCTCCCAATATTTTCTCTAAACATTTGGTGTCTCATGTGTTGTGTGTTGATTCCTCATAAGGCCCCATTCACACCTGAGCGTTTTGTAGCGCGTCCTACGCTCGATGAACGCTCTACAAAACGGTCAAAAAAATAAATAGCATTGTAGTCAATGGTGTCGTTCCCACCTGTCCATATTTCCGCCCGTCCCGAACGCACTACAAAACGGCCCACGCATGAAAAGGTCCTGGAGCGTTTTTTGCTGCGTATTGGTCCATTTTGTAGGGCGTTTTCCATTTGTATACTGCCAAGTAGCCTTTGGAATCGTGCGACGGTCGCGCAACTTTTTTTACCGCGAATCGCGGTAAAAAAAACGCGTGACTGTCGCACGACAGACGCGCATATTACAATACGCATAGGTGTGAATGGGGCCTTAGTCCTAACATTGTCCATCCGGAGGGTTATGTACTGTGTGGGGGGTCAGGAAAACATCTCTGTTTGTACATGAAGAAGCTCCTTACAGTGGCCGTTAATGTATAGTTAAAGGCTGCATACTGTGTAGACATTGGAGTGTATGGAGGTGATCGGGGACGGTGAGGGCCACCAGAATGTCTTGGGAGGTCACCGGCTTGGCTGCCCTCTTCTGATGCAGTAAACGACCCGATAGTCACATAACTGGGGACTGTCTGTGAGAGGACGAGGTGTGATTGCTATAAATCCTGTGTGATCTGTGAGGATATTCTGTGCTGTCACCTGACCTGTCATTCTGGGTTTTATATTCACAGTGCTTGTCCAGGAGGAGCAGGAAGCAGCAATAGGAAAATGCATCTAGATGCCATGATGGATGAATCTGCAATGCTACGTAAAGTGGACCTGAGCCCATTGGACAGAACGACAGCCAGTGGCATCACAAGGGTGGTTATCACCTGCACCACGTGACCCAATCGGAGTGGGTTAAGCCAAAATTAATGACAGTAATTTCGGTGTTATCCCCTCTGAAACGTTGGGCACTCGGTCAGCTGCACAACAATGAGGGGACCCAGCAGCATACGTTATCCCACCACATGAACGTCCTCTCCTCTGTTTGCCAGCGTACTTTTTTACCTCTGTGAATAAGTATAAAAAAGTCTGCCAAGAAATTGAATATTTTGCTCCGCCAGTCTTGTGAATCCGGCAGCATAACCAGTTCAAAGACCTTTCTTGACTGCAGTTAAAGTTTTAACCTCCCGCTGCCCCCAACACTGCCACCTTCCCTGTACCTAATACAAAAAATTGTAAAGCATATATACCTTAGAAGAGAAGTAAAGCCAATCCCTTTTTTTTTATTTTACCTCTCTTGGGTCACATATACTAATATACTCCTGGAACCCAAAGTCAGCAGATAGTTGACTCCTGCAGCAGAGGTTTGCTGCAGCCAGGAAGGATCCTGACAATATTGTCAGTAGACATGCGCATTCAGATTCGGACGAACCTCCAAATCAACGAAATTCAGTTGATTGGGCGGTTCATCTGAATCCGAAATAACTGCTTCATTATATGGCCAAATAAACAAAGACTATATTCGGGCATACATAAATTCTTTTGTACATATTGGCCGTCGGTGTCTTTTGCGCATGCCTGCCGCCATCTTGGCCTCACATGATAATGACATCACACGCTGAACGAGCAGTGGCCATATAGGGTTGCAGGCGTGCCACCATCTTTGAGTGTATCTTGGTATACACCAAGATGGCGGTGCCCGAACATGCAGGCGGCGCCATCTTGGTCAATACCAAGATACACTCAAAGACGGTGGCGCGCATGCGCAGAGTGCACCGGTGGCCGGTACGGCCGCTGCTCGTTCAGTTTCAGTCTGCGGTTTCTGATTCGGAGGCTCATTGCCCCCAGAACAGCATACAAATTTGTTTTCTTTGACAAAACGAATCAAAATATTTTTCGTTTTCATTTGTTTAGTCAGAAAACTAATTTTTTTGTTGTGCACATGTCTAATTGTCAGGATCCACCTGGCTGCTTGACTGACAGCTGGCATTGCCTCTCTGGAGCCAGAGCCAGCTGTGCCCACCCCCTCCCCTGTCTCCCTCCAATGAGCACTGGAGGAATGGAGAGGGGGCGGGATACCTGCAGGAAGCGATGACTGACAGTGACCACTTTCTGCAGGGAGAAGACCATGAGCTGAGCGTCCAGTGGTCACATGATTGCTCAACACTTGGTATAGAGCTGGTGTGTGACAAATATAATGGGAATAACTATCCCCTGAGTGTCTATACATCTACACCTAGTGTCAGCTATGTTCATACCATTATTAATACAATAAAAAAAATGGACAAACAGATTTTAACAAGTTAAATACCATAGGAGTCTAAGTCCAGATAGTTCCTATAATGGGCACAAGGTGACTTAACCATAATGCCAGGGGGTAGACACAACATAACCACTCCACACATAAACATTGGATAATAGTTCCAAGGGGTACCAATACACCGGGGGTCCCAGGAACAGTCCCTCAAGTCTTAGTTCCATGAGCAAGGGTATCCTGGATAATCCCTGACCAGCAAGTTGCCCAGGCAAAGTGATATAACTGTCTTGGGGAAAATGTTACTTGTAACCCCAAGAGGTCAAAGGGGGAGGTCTCCATAGGGTCTATAGTTAGTGGGAAGGAGGCTGGCCCCCAGGCCCCTCTGGGAGTCCAGGTCATGGTGGTTTCTGTGACAGCTGGCCTTCCTTTACCACCTAAGAGGACCAGAGTTTTTGTGAGGAGCAGTGCTGGAGACACGGTGAAAATTGCAGGGAGATATATCTTTGATTTATGAACTGGCTGAGTTAGAGATCTGCTCCAAAGATTCCAACTATTGGATCATAGACAATTGTTTAAAAAGTTCTGCTTACTGTATATTTGTACATTTTATATTTGTATATGTATATATGTATGTATGTTCTTATGATTTATTTAAAAAAAAATGTTTAACTGAGTATAGGATTGCTGTTACAAACAATGACTTTTGTAAATATAATATGTGCTATACAATTGTGTTCTCAATGAATGTCCTGATATTACCCCCATCCTGCCTCCTTCTGGTACAATCACTGATATCTCCCCCATCCTGCCTCCTTCTGGTACAATCACTGATGTCTCCCCCCATCCTGCCTCCTCCTGGTACAATCACTGATGTCTCCCCCCCATCCTGCCTCCTTCTGGTACAATCACTGATATCTCCCCCATCCTGCCTCCTTCTGGTACAATCACTGATATCTCCCCCATCCTGCCTCCTTCTGGTACAATCACTGATATCTCCCCCATCCTGCCTCCTTCTGGTACAATCACTGATATCTCCCCCATCCTGCCTCCTTCTGGTACAATCACTGATATCTCCCCCATCCTGCCTCCTTCTGGTACAATCACTGATATCTCCCCCATCCTGCCTCCTTCTGGTACAATCACTGATATCTCCCCCATCCTGCCTCCTTCTGGTACAATCACTGATATCTCCCCCATCCTGCCTCCTTCTGGTACAATCACTGATATCTCCCCCATCCTGCCTCCTTCTGGTACAATCACTGATATCTCCCCCATCCTGCCTCCTTCTGGTACAATCACTGATATCTCCCCCATCCTGCCTCCTTCTGGTACAATCACTGATATCTCCCCCATCCTGCCTCCTTCTGGTACAATCACTGATATCTCCCCCATCCTGCCTCCTTCTGGTACAATCACTGATATCTCCCCCATCCTGCCTCCTTCTGGTACAATCACTGATATCTCCCCCATCCTGCCTCCTTCTGGTACAATCACTGATATCTCCCCCATCCTGCCTCCTTCTGGTACAATCACTGATATCTCCCCCATCCTGCCTCCTTCTGGTACAATCACTGATATCTCCCCCATCCTGCCTCCTTCTGGTACAATCACTGATATCTCCCCCATCCTGCCTCCTTCTGGTACAATCACTGATATCTCCCCCATCCTGCCTCCTTCTGGTACAATCACTGATATCTCCCCCATCCTGCCTCCTTCTGGTACAATCACTGATATCTCCCCCATCCTGCCTCCTTCTGGTACAATCACTGATATCTCCCCCATCCTGCCTCCTTCTGGTACAATCACTGATATCTCCCCCATCCTGCCTCCTTCTGGTACAATCACTGATATCTCCCCCATCCTGCCTCCTTCTGGTACAATCACTGATATCTCCCCCATCCTGCCTCCTTCTGGTACAATCACTGATATCTCCCCCATCCTGCCTCCTTCTGGTACAATCACTGATATCTCCCCCATCCTGCCTCCTTCTGGTACAATCACTGATATCTCCCCCATCCTGCCTCCTTCTGGTACAATCACTGATATCTCCCCCATCCTGCCTCCTTCTGGTACAATCACTGATATCTCCCCCATCCTGCCTCCTTCTGGTACAATCACTGATATCTCCCCCATCCTGCCTCCTTCTGGTACAATCACTGATATCTCCCCCATCCTGCCTCCTTCTGGTACAATCACTGATATCTCCCCCATCCTGCCTCCTTCTGGTACAATCACTGATATCTCCCCCATCCTGCCTCCTTCTGGTACAATCACTGATATCTCCCCCATCCTGCCTCCTTCTGGTACAATCACTGATATCTCCCCCATCCTGCCTCCTTCTGGTACAATCACTGATATCTCCCCCATCCTGCCTCCTTCTGGTACAATCACTGATATCTCCCCCATCCTGCCTCCTTCTGGTACAATCACTGATATCTCCCCCATCCTGCCTCCTTCTGGTACAATCACTGATATCTCCCCCATCCTGCCTCCTTCTGGTACAATCACTGATATCTCCCCCATCCTGCCTCCTTCTGGTACAATCACTGATATCTCCCCCATCCTGCCTCCTTCTGGTACAATCACTGATATCTCCCCCATCCTGCCTCCTTCTGGTACAATCACTGATATCTCCCCCATCCTGCCTCCTTCTGGTACAATCACTGATATCTCCCCCATCCTGCCTCCTTCTGGTACAATCACTGATATCTCCCCCATCCTGCCTCCTTCTGGTACAATCACTGATATCTCCCCCATCCTGCCTCCTTCTGGTACAATCACTGATATCTCCCCCATCCTGCCTCCTTCTGGTACAATCACTGATATCTCCCCCATCCTGCCTCCTTCTGGTACAATCACTGATATCTCCCCCATCCTGCCTCCTTCTGGTACAATCACTGATATCTCCCCCATCCTGCCTCCTTCTGGTACAATCACTGATATCTCCCCCATCCTGCCTCCTTCTGGTACAATCACTGATATCTCCCCCATCCTGCCTCCTTCTGGTACAATCACTGATATCTCCCCCATCCTGCCTCCTTCTGGTACAATCACTGATATCTCCCCCATCCTGCCTCCTTCTGGTACAATCACTGATATCTCCCCCATCCTGCCTCCTTCTGGTACAATCACTGATATCTCCCCCATCCTGCCTCCTTCTGGTACAATCACTGATATCTCCCCCATCCTGCCTCCTTCTGGTACAATCACTGATATCTCCCCCATCCTGCCTCCTTCTGGTACAATCACTGATATCTCCCCCATCCTGCCTCCTTCTGGTACAATCACTGATATCTCCCCCATCCTGCCTCCTTCTGGTACAATCACTGATATCTCCCCCATCCTGCCTCCTTCTGGTACAATCACTGATATCTCCCCCATCCTGCCTCCTTCTGGTACAATCACTGATATCTCCCCCATCCTGCCTCCTTCTGGTACAATCACTGATATCTCCCCCATCCTGCCTCCTTCTGGTACAATCACTGATATCTCCCCCATCCTGCCTCCTTCTGGTACAATCACTGATATCTCCCCCATCCTGCCTCCTTCTGGTACAATCACTGATATCTCCCCCATCCTGCCTCCTTCTGGTACAATCACTGATATCTCCCCCATCCTGCCTCCTTCTGGTACAATCACTGAT